GTCTAATCCTATTAGGAATTACATTAGGGTTTTCTTTTCTTTGCTATTTAAGCGAACCTAAGCTTGTAAAGGTTCGTCAGACTTATAGAATTAATAATCAGAGCTTTTCAGAGCCATATTAGTTCTTCAAGTCGCAAAACTTACTTACGTCTTAAGCTTTCGTAGTTAACGAACTTCTGTCGATCATCTCTTTCTCCTTTAAATCTCTTTCGCTGCGTCACTTAGCTCCATTACGAAGCACACGATATCATCTACAAGATTTTCAGGGTGAAGGACGTGATCCAGCAAATGAAAATGAACTATTCAACTTTCGTCATGCGTCTTTGAGAAACGTCATCGAGAGAATTTTTGGTATTTTTAAATCTCGGTTCTTGATATTTAAATCTGCACCACCATTTTCTTTCAAGACCCAAGCAGAGATTGTTCTTGCGTGTGCGGGTTTACATAATTTTCTTCGTAAAAGATGTCGGTCAGATGAGTTTTCTAGTGATGACGAAGAGGATGATGATGAAGAAACTGAAAATCATAATTCAGAAGAGAATGATGATGCAGGAAATGTTGAGTCCCAAGATCAAGAAAGAGAATATGCAAGACAATGGAGGGCGACCATAGCTGCAGATATGTGGAGAGATGCTACTATTATTGGTAGCCAAAGATAATTTATTCATTAGCTTTTTATAAGGTTTACGTTTTTAGGATTTTTGTTTTGGTGGCTATTCTTTCAATGTGTCTCGACTCAAAAATACTTTCTTGAACCCTTTATGATTTCTTTTTAGAATTTTTTACTTCTTGTTTATCACTTGCTGTACAAATGTAGAGAACAATTTTGCAGATGAAGATGATCCACGTCTTGCCTGTTTAACAGAGAGAGAGAGAGATCAATTACCTACTAAGATTCCAGATAGAAATAGATCTTGCCGAGGCTATCTTAAGGAACAACCTATTGCAAAATGGTTCTCTACATTTGTCATGAACTTTGGAAACTTACTCCATCAAAGAAACGGATTTTTGGTGATGGCTTACGGAGACCTGATGGTTGCATGGATGTTGGAGGAACCAAACCACCATTGATAGCTGAAACTTTTGTGCCCTCCTTAGCATTAGCTTGAAGAACAGATGCATCTTTAGAGTTCTTGAGAGGCTTCACAGTTTGCAACGTGTTATCATTTGCATGACCCTTTTCATCAGAGACAGTTTCTGATTATCTTTAGTCATTTTGCTAGTGGCACAAGCTCGTGATGACTCTGATGGACGTTCACTGATCGAACCAGCAGATGGATATTCTAGGATCCAAAGGCTCTTTTCCTGTATACTTCAAGGTCTTGGACGATGTTGATTATAATTGAGTTTGTGTTATATAAAGTTAAGAGTCGTGTTTGTTAAGTTAGGGTGTGTTATTTCTTTAAGAGTCACAATGGTGGTTTGTGTTATTTCTTGGACGATGTTGATTATAATTGAGTTTGTGTTATATAAAGTTAAGAGTCGTGTCTGTTAAGTTAGGGTGTGTTATTTTTTTAAGAGTCACAAGTAGAAAAGACACAACTCTTTGTTAAATCATGTCTGTTGTGTCGTGTCTGTTGTGTAACTACTTAAGATGTTGTAACCGTGATGTAAAAACCAAGTTTGAGATTCAATAAAGAGTCAGTTTCTGTTCTTACTTTGTACTCTGTTTTTATATCAAATTCTGTGTAGAAAACAGAGTGTTTTATCAGAATATTTCTGATACTTAGAAAGTTCTTGTGTTTATTCAGAGAAGCACAAATTTCTAACAGACGAAAGAGACACGTAATACAATCTTCAAGATAGAGTTGTGACTAACCCGCAGGTAATTTGGAATTCTTCCCTTGTTTGGCTTTGTTAATATCTAGTGATGCACTGGTCATCGATGTTGTTGACAAGTGCCTGACTTTGCTGAGTCCGTTATGTGGCTTGGAAGTGGATGTACTAGTACCTATTGCACCCACAGACTGTATCATATGTATCATTGACAAATTATTAAAATATCATGGTAAGCCAGAACAAGTTATGACAAGCTTCTAATTCATAAAAACAATAGACACAATTCGAGTTCGTTAACCACTAGAAGAAACCCGCTACTCTCACGTTGTCAGGTTAAACCCACTACTCAAGCTTTTACTTCTTGTTTATTACTTGCTGTACATATCCACGTTAATTTGCTTACTTGGTTTCAAAAATAATATAAATGACAACACATCATATAAATATTTAGAAGATTCTCATGATCATTAAAATATTATATATCACAAGTTTTTTTTCTATATCTTATTCTATCAACTCAATATTCATCTTTATCTAGATAAGTTCATGTTTATCTTTATATTAGCTTCATCTTTATCTTTAACAACGATCTCTCTCTATATATACACATTTTCTCAAACATAGAGATCATCAAACTCAAGAAAACAAGGTTAGTGAATTATTTTACTATTTTCTTTTATTACTAATGCATACATGTTTATTAGTAATTGTTTCCAATTCTGCATTGACGTTTAACACTAGCTCTCTCTACTTTGCTCAATCATTTTCGTTTTTATTTTGTTTTGAATCTGTGTTTTTGTTTTTCATTCATGACTAGTTATCTTTAAACATCATCACCATGGGAGATTCACAAAAAAAGAGAAAAGAAAAAGGTGATTACAATCCATGGACTCCAGATGAGACTAAGTTGTTAATACAACTTCTTGTGGAAGGGATCAACCACAATTGGCGTGATTCTAATGGTAGCATAAGCAAACTAACTATTGAGACGAAGCTTCTACCAGATCTCAACAAAGGTGTTTGCCGTCCAAAAGATTACAAACATTATCAAAGCAGAATGAAATATTTAAAACAACAATACCAAAGTTGTGTCGATCTTCAACGTTATTCTTCTGGTTTTGGCTGGGATCCTCAAACAAAAAGATTTACAGCATCTGATGAAGTTTGGGATAGTTATTTAAAAGTAAGTCTCTCGTTCAAACAATATATTATCATACTACCTATTACACTTTATTAATATATTATTTTGTTTTTATAGGCTCATCCTACTGATAAAAACCTACGTTATGAAACATTTGAATTTTTTGATGAGTTTCAAATAATATTTGGAGAAGGTGTTGCTACCGGGAAAAATGCAATTGGATTAGGTGATAGTACAGATGCACGTACAAACAAAGAAGAGTATGTGCATGGTATTGATGACTTATATGACTTAGAAAGAACAACTCATCGCCATGAGTCTCCAGAGCATTTTGTACCATTTGATTCCCAGACAACTTCAGATTATCGTAGAGAGAAGTTTCAACCAAAGAAAAGAGCTAGATCTGAGAGAGGTACTTCCAAAAAAGATGAAAATCCAGTGATGGCGATTAGCAATCAAATCTTGAATTTAATACAGCAAAAAGAAGAAAGACAACAAAGAGAAGCGGAGAAAAATCAGAATAATGTTTGGGATGCTATAAAAGAAATTTCGGATTTAGAAGAACGTATTCGTTACAAAGCACTTACCAAAATTTACCATTTGAGAATACAAGATGTTTTTATTAGTATGTCAGTGGAAGAAAGGTTAGGGTGGATTCAAACCAATATGGATTGAATGTGGGTTTTTTTTTTCTTAGGTTGCAATTTCTTTTTTTATTGTGTTGGCTTTTTTTTCTTTGATTTTTTTTCTTTCGTTGTGGTTTTAGATTGTTTTTTTTTTTTAATCTTTTCAAATCCAAAATTTATTGAGAATTCTATTCTATTAGATTTTAAATGATAGCATGTGACTTTCTAAATACACTGCTAAGTAATTTAAAATTTTAAACAACTCATATACATTAGATTCTAAATGAATTAAAAAAAATTAAAATCTGATATATTCTAATCTAGTGGAGTTGATTTCAACATACAGATTGAATAACGCCCCCAATTATTTTATATAAGAAACAATTAC